CACTATGGGAATTGTGCAAGTCTTATTTATAGCCACTCCAAAAAAAAAAAAAAAAAGCAGGGCAATGGGCAGAAGAAACAAGTGAAGAAAAGAAAGACGCCGTTCTGTAACAACAACCAAGATAGGTGTTTCTGGTTCACACTTCCCAAAGTAGAACCAACTAAAAATTAGCCTGAAAACCCTTTAAATGTCTGATCTATGCCATCTCTATGTTGATCTGAATGAAGATCCCAGTGAGGCAAGATGTTGAGGCCACCGGTCTACAAGCTCCCCCTCCACACTACATGAGGGTGGTCACTGCAATACTCTGCACGAGAGAAATCTTTCAGCTTCTAAATGCTGCTAATGCGTTCATCATTTGGGCAATGTTTATGCATTTCTGTTAGGACAACCTTCAGCTGAAGATACGCAGCAGCTAAATCTAAACCCCAATCGTTTCTCCTCCATTCTGTAGTTACTGTTTAAGTGGAGATAATCCAGCACCACCACTTGGCGACTGGAACATGGTCTTCCAACTTTATCTCTCCTTCATATGCCTTTGTCCCACCATTCATCCATCACTCATAACATGTCAAGTAACACAACTAATCTCTGTGCTTCCTAGAACAGTTTATCTCAAAGACACTCAACACAGTTTCTTAGGTATAAGGATCTCAGCACACCACCTAAAGCACATTGTTCAGCTTAACCAATTGAGGACACCAGTAAACACCAAAATAAAGTTCTCCCAAGCATTTCATAGAAATAAAAAAACCTTCCACTGTAATGAAGATCACCAACTTCCTATTCTATATCATGTTGCTATTTTGAAGACACTTTGCACCACTGCAATTAACTGCTACTATTCAATTACTTGACCTTCATTAATCTAGTAAAAAAAGTACACTTCACTGATACGAAAGCAACCAGGTATTTCAAAGAGCACGGCTTTTTGTGCTGTCAATATTTTGTTGCAAAATACAAAAGCTACATGGGTCAAGTCTGTGCTAACTATGTCGCTTCCAAGTGAAATAAGTGCTGCCTATGGGGGTATGGGAAGAGGAAGGCCACTGTGGATTTTCAGAACAAGAGCCAGGCAAAATTTCTTGTTCCCCTACTTCTCTCCTAACATTGGGTCAAAGCACCAAAGACCATAAACAGGCGTTATACACTTCTGAGCCCTGTGATCTACTTTAATGGTTAAAAGTTCATGCCAGTAACAGCAACTGAAATGAAAACATTCAAGCTGACCTTTCTGAAAATGTCTTCGGTTAGTAACAAATCAGATGCCTCGTCCTGCCAGAGCCTCCAACATTCCCAAAACGAGAAATATTTCAGCCCAAGTTGTATATTTTTCTATTAATTTATTTTGTACAGTTTTTTTAATCACTTTGCAATGGTACGCTTCACAAGTTGCAGCTTCAAAAAGTAAGTTCACCTTGTTTCTAATGAAGAACAAAATGTGCACATCAAACTAATCTAATGACTCCCCAATGCTTAGGAAAAGTAAACACTTCTTGTCCTAGAGGAGAATAACACGATGCAAAGCCTAGATCTCTCAGCAGAGCTGTTTCCTATAACACTAACAGAGACTGTAAGTCTCACTGTAGAAGCAGGAAAATCCGCAGCCTCAGAAAGGCAACTTCGTCCACATACATCCAAAAACCACTGAGATTCCAGATGTGAGAGAGAATCACTGAAGTCAGATAAGCTTTAAAGGAGGCATCAGGTAAAACATACAAACATATGGGTCAAATTATCAAATTCAAGCAAGAAGGCATAAAAACCCCGTTACTATCTCCAAATTGATTAGGCTATCTCCTTACCTGGTGTCAATCTGGAATGCTGTTCACACCAGCTGAAAACACTGCTTTTCCTGTATTTTTACAAGGAAGGAAAAGACTCCCATCTCCCTTTAGGTTGCATTAGACATGCAGTACAAATGTAACTGAAGTATACATTAGCTGGGTCCTTTCCCTTAGCGGAAATCAGCAAAAAGTGTCTCATAAGCCACATTTGCTGATACTTGGATGGCTACAAGCAACCACACATGCTGCAGGAAGCATCTCAGAATCAGGCCAGAAAAATACTGATTACAAAAAGGAAAGATCTCATTCCTGTGTTCAGCTTCAATACCAAAATCTGCTATTCTGTTCCTCCTACACACACAAACCAGTGCACATCTGTGGCAGCATCCGCTTCTCTCTTCTCTTCATTTTTAGTTACTTTTAAACCAAACACGTGCCAACACAAGAACCTTAGCAGTGTGATATCGTAAAGGTACACTTGCAGTATGAGAGAAAACTGGAGCAGCACCATGAAATAATGCACTAACCTGACTACTCAGACTTACTGCTGAATTTCTTTACTTGTGTATTATAAATAATTGGGCTTGGGTTATGGTTCATTTCTATGCAGTCATGGATTATCAACAGACCAGGTACTGACATCTCAAACTCTTTACGCAGGTCATACAGGTGGCCAGTGTCTACAGCTGGAATTTTAAAGCTAGCACACGAAAGGCAAAAATAGTCCAGGAAATTATTGCCAATGTGAATAGAAGCCTTATTATTATTATTTAAATAAAGGAGCTGGTATGCTGAAGTATAACACGTCTCTTTTTGGACATTATCCCAAACATCAACCGGATCTCTAAATAAATTTATGAGAAGAAACATGCTCTGGTGGCAGATTTCTAATCCCACTGGAGAAAACCCAGATCATCTCCATTTAAGGTCAAGCAAGCAACAGCTGCACATTTTTGTTCCCCAGAACAAAATAAAGCAGACCAGAACCTCCAACACAGATTCCTTTTTTAAAGCTTTTCCTTTGTGATATCCACATGTGTCTGGACCCTTTCACCCAGGGGTGGATCAAACAGTACAATGATGTGCTCATATATACTGTCTGTACCTGTCAGACTGATGTGTCCTGTGAGCAGCACTTTGGCATCTCCCTCGGAACCCCACCAAAATCCCCATCAGTTACACGAGGGAGTGATACTAAACTGACCTAGAAAAACGTTCTCAAGAGAGGGTACCCAAACAAGCTTGTTGTCAGAGAAACAACATCAATGTAAGATCTACAACATCCATGTGGTCTGAATTTGTGCATGTTATTGTTATTTAATGAATATATTTTCAATCTTAAAATTTCTTATCCATGTTAGACATTTACAGAAGGCATGCATATTTCTGATGAGATACTAATATTTTTATTAATGCCTTACCTTGAACATTTAAGTATCATTCTTTAAAAAGACGACTAAGCTATGACTGTGTCAGCAGCTCACAAACAAAACCAGCATTCTTTTAAGAAACCTCATTTCTAAAAAGCTCCAAAATTATGATTAGGTCCAATTCACTAACAAAAAAAGCTAAGAATTTGGGATAGAGTAACTAAATAACACGATCATTTTACAGTGTAAAAGGGAGGAACTGGCATCACAGCTACTGCAGTGCTGGGTGTTGGACTTGAATAACAAAGTACAGCGGTGAATTTCATTAGTAGAAGTTTCATATTATGTCTTACAAAAAGCAAACAATGCAATGATAACTACTTTTGCTGGATGACAGAACGCAATAAAAACATGAAACTCCCTTCATAAAACGGCTGAACAGTTTGCTTGACTGCGATAGATTTATAATGTTAATAATGACATTATAAGTAAATTATGAAATCCTTTGCACTGGTAAAGAACTATCACTCCTCACTGTGGAGATATTCAATTAACTTTCAACTGAAATATGTGACCCTAAATTTCCTGGGTTTGATATTAAAAGGATAACACAAAGCAGGCAGATTTATTATATTAAAACTGAGTTTCTAACTTCAACTATGTTATAACCAATTTTGCAGAAGAGCTAAACCTTATTTACAAAAATTAAAATAGAGCTCAATTTGAAACAAGGTGGTACATCACCTCCAAGCTCTTTGTATCTCTGGTTTGCAGCACGTATCACAGCAGGGCTTACAGGGAATGAAAAAAACAAACTAAAAAAACCCCACTATGTCTGGTTTCCTGCTCAAAGCCAAGAACTAATCTATGCTAAACAATTATTGTCAAAACTGGATGTGTAAGTGTTCGGAGTTAGGCTGAGCTTCTGTATTTTTGCGTGCAATTTCCAAATCAGGAAAAGGCACATGCTGCCAGTTGCATCCACATACAAAGTCTGATGCTGGACGCTCACGCACTCAACAGTTCAACCCTTTCACATCTAGTAAATCCTCCACTTCCCATATGCACAAAACCTACTCCATATATGCACTGTGGTGTCATTTGTCATTTCCCAACACAGGATAATATACATTAGATAACCTGCAAAGTAGCATCCAGCTGCTACTCCTATCCAAACAAACAGAACGTTCTCAAAAATCACTTCGACAGTTTCCAGCCACAAAAAGAGGGAGGGGGAGAAAAAGGGGGTGTGCGTTTTAAAGAAAAGGTAGATACTTCAAATTATATAGGAATGATAAATTTCAGAGATGAACTTATATATGCCGGATTTTATGTAGAGAAAAAAAAACCCTCTAGCCCACAAATTAACTTGAAAGTTTGGAAGAGTCTTGAAATACAGAGAAATTACTTCAGTTCAAGCGTTGTCAGAAGAAAGATGATGTGTGAAAACACACATCATACAGTGTAAACTGAATACCAACTGTGTAACAGAATTATCAAAACTACGTATACTGAAAGGGTAGTTTAAGAAACCTCTTGTACAAAAGAAAATCATTCCAAGTCAAAAGCCCATATGAGATGTGATCACCCACACTAGAGATTTAGGGTTTTTATAATGAAGAAACACTGCTGTAGCAAAAGTAACTCATCCAAAAGAGCTCCCTGAACAAACTCCCATTTAAGTTCTTGTTTAAGAAAAGGCAGGGTGTAAACAAGCAGCTCCCTTTGCTACCCCACTGAAGTGTGCCGCTTCCCAGATTCCTTCATCCTGTGGCTGCACGGGTGGTGTCCCTGGCACACGGTTCCCTTCACAAGGAAAGTTGTTGCCCATGTTTAATATATTACTGCTGTGAACAAGTTTAGAGGAGCAACTGCCTGTGTCAGAAGGCAGAAATGGGACCAATCACAACTTGTGAGCTGCTGAATGACACCGGGAGCCCTGCCTCTGAAACTTTTGTTACTTTTTCCCCCTCAACCTACTTCAATTGTTCCCACAACTTGGTCACAGACTCGGACAAGTTGCCAGAGATCTACAGACACTTCCCACAGCCCGGAGCAGGCTCCTCTGTGCTTCACTAACAGTCACACCAGAGGTAAGGAACCTCTCTTCTTTTATGCTTTTAATTCTTACAGCAAGGCACTGGTAGCTGTAGTTTTCTACAAAAACTCCTCTAGTCAAATTAACAGCTGGCTGTAATTGTTTATCAAAAATATGGAAATGAAGGCATTGCAGCTCTGAGTCAAAAATATAATGCTGTGGGAGACATATTTTAGGGACAATAAAGGCAACTGAGATTTTTCTATGTGCTGGTGGGACACTAGCTGTCCTTGGGTAGATGATTTATACAGGTAGCATTACACCAGAAGGTGAGAAGCTTTCATCATTTTCCTCAGATCTTTGTCTCTCCTTTTTAATTTAATATGTTGTTTGTTTTTTGTTTGTTTTTTTTTTTTTTAATACAAAATCCACAAAGAGAGTAATTCACTTGAAATTTTGTAGAGACACTTTTGTTTCCCCAAAGCTGCCTATCCACAGCCCAGCAAAGGTAAAGCTCTTTCACCATTTAACACACAAAAGCATTTTTCTGATCTGACACATTGAGAAAGCAAACCTTTTTTTTGCTGTATGATGAAAAAGTACCCTTAATTAAAAAAATTTAACCAGTTTATAGCAGTACTGGAACTGCAATTGTATCATGTGACTCAAACTGCAGTTAAAGCTACAGAATTAACACAGCATTTTTGCTGTGAATTCCTTTAAAGGTTTATTTTCTCCTGCTGGTCACTGTAACTGCCAAACTTGTCCTAGAATGCTTCTAACAACAAATAAATAATTTAGTTAGGATTTGTAACATCATGAACCGAATTTCAAAGGCATAAAGTAATCCATTTGTTTCCAACTAAGGGAAGCGCGTACACACTGTACAACGAAACACAACCCCAGCTTTAAAATCACTGCAAACAAAAAAAGAGTGCATCTCAGACAGAAACATGTCACATAAAGGACATTTTAATATTTGGATATACAAATATTTTTAAAAGGAATATGATTCATGAATATGTAGGTCTCTAATGAATTTCTCCTCCTTATAATCACGTTCCCCCCCCTTCCATCAATTTACACCTTACTACTTATGTATACTTAAGGTTCTGGTTTTAGAAAAGACAGACTTAATACAGACCTTAATTTTGTGAGGCGTGTTTTCTCTGTTACCGAACAGACACACGTAATTCCTTTTCCTATTACTGACTGGTAAAAATATATGCAAAAATATATGCAGGTGCTTGGTTTTGCACTCAGCAGCCTTGTGCCAGTTTTGAATAGACAAGTACTGGAAGTGTCCGGACGTCCTGTTACTCATAAGGCAAACAATCTGTTATGAAGTTCTCTGGAAGCTGTTTCCAGTAGGCAGAAGCAGCACTTCAGACCTCCCAGTGCCTTCAAACCAATGCCTACGACGAGCAAGAAGATTCTCAGAGACAGACAGACTTTTTTCAAGGCTAAAGTTATATAAAATTATTTTTCTAGTGAAGAGAGGAGCTTGGATTTATTCTACCACGCAGAGAATCTTTCTCTCCTAACACATACACTGCATACACACACCTTTAAAAAGACAGAGTTTATGCATACACACACAGATTGAACATACACATAGAAACTTAACAGCTGTAGGCAGCTCTTTACTAGAATGCATCCATAGCTACAGCAGGTTAGATGCCCGTTCATCTGAATTCCATCCTGTCACAGAGTTCGGTAATTTAAAGTAGGTGACAGTGTGGCTCAGCTGTTGAGTTAAATCTAAAAATTTCACACTGGTAACATCCCACGTCACAGACATCCAAACCTGAGTAACAACAGCCGACAGTCATGACAGAAGCATGTACTACATAGCAGGTGACAAATGTTACAAATCAGATGTGAAACACTGCATTTAATTTACAGCAAATAACAGTTCTATGGTTTTTTGCCACTCATCTGTCAAGACGAGATGTATTTAGAGAGATTCAGATTTATGTATATACCACATTTCTATTTTTAAAAGTTGCATTTATTTCTCATCCTCTGAAGATGTTAGGAATATAGTGTCTTCATTGTACAACACATTAAAATCAGTTTGTAATCAGATAGCGTAAAGGTGATTTTCACTGATTTTTTCAGACCATCAGCAAACAAAAAAAATGTATGGGATACACCTACACAGCTATAGGAACAGCTTTTTATTTACTTTAAGAGTAATTTGATTTAGGAATAGAAACGTATGCCAACTGGAGAAACAAAAAATCCCACAGGAAAGTAACGTTATGTTCCCTAAACTACAAGACACTTCAGAACTGGAAGATTGCTTTTGCTTTCTAGAGACTGATACACAGCTTAAGAGGACTTTCCTGGCATCAAGTTACTTCTCAGAAGTTGAATTTTTCTACTATATTCTTATTTCAATCAATGCCATGTCATTGTCCCCTGAGCTGCTAAAAAACACAATTTGCAACATCCCCTTCCACTTCTACCTTTTATACATGCTAGATGTATTTCAATTTTTACTTCAGTTCAAATTGCACTTACCCCATTTCCTATTAATAAGTAGTGTCATACGAACAACCAGAACCTAAAACCCAACTTGAAACTACAAGGTGTTAGTTACTCAGTGCGTGCAGTGGAGGAAGGAGTTCATTTCCTAAAAGAAAATGACTACATAAAAGGCAAATCATACCAACAGATGGGAAGAAGTATGTGGTTATTACATGTCTTATTTTGATTAGGGGAACAGATGAGTATGGAGGCTGAAGCACCTGCCCAAGGTCCCACTGCATGGTCCTGCAGCAGTTGCAGGGAATTTAACCCAGAGTTAAAAACTAGCCCAAAGCATTAGCTCCCAGGCTACTCTAAATGGGACCAGCACACAGATAGAAGTCCCAGGTATCCACAAGGTATGTGGATAACTTCCAAAAACCAAAATGCCAAGCCTGGCGTGTTCAGCTATTCATCAGTGTAATTTCTTGGTTATCTACACCCTTCACATTCTCATGGACTTGAAATACAGGTAAAGGCTCTTACTGGCAATCTTGCTTCTAGAACACTGAGAACGTTAAAGCTAGTCAAAAGGAAGACTGTAAGAGGAATGAATTAATAAGAGGGGGAGAAAAAAAAAAGAATCTAATTGAAGTGTGAGCCTTCCCCTATCCTCTCCCAAACACATGAAAAATATTGACACTTCAGTATAAAACAGACTTTAAAACAAAAGGTAAAAAGAAGGATAAAATGAGTTTGCTTTTCTTGTTACCAGAACTTCCCAAACTCTATGAGCTGAATAGTTGCTTCTTCCCCCCACCCCAAGGAAATGTTTTCTGCATGTGACTGAAAAAAATGACATTATATGCCACAAGTCAGTCTCTAGCTCTCTTCAATGACTTAATGTACTCCAGTTGCAGTTTTCTCTTTCCCCTTGTGCAATTCCTTGCTCTTTCTACATTCTCAGTCTCTTCCTCTGCTCATTTTCTTCTTCTACTTTCTTCCCTCAATCTGTCCTCTCCTGCACTATTGTCTGCAGTCTTGCCTTCACCCATCCCAGTCTTTGTTTTCGACCTCTAGCCATTTCCTTCCCCTTTTATGCTTTCTTCTTTAAAAAAAAAAAATTAAAAAAAAAATCAACTTTCCTTTTTCTGCGGTCAAGCTGTTGAATTGGCTAATATCCTTAATACTCTTCTTCACTGACACAACTGCCTACTGCAACTCTCAGCCTAAAATCAGAATAAGCAACAGAATTCTACACCGCTAGCATAGGTAAATACAAAATCCAGCTGCTGGGGTAAATCCTAGCAAGTCATCTCCATACTATGTATTTTTTTTGTAAAAAGAACAAAAATTACAAATTATGACATACCTTTATAAATCACTTCTGTACTTGAAAACCTGTAAGCAACTTCTGTTTTATTGTTGGAAACTTTTACTTACTGAACTAAATTGACAGTAGTGAGACCCTGTAGAGGTCTCTAGAGTTAATTCAGACTGATTCCTTCTTCACTCCCTTCTCACCCCTCATCTTCCTCACACAAAAAAAAAGGAGATTTTTTCAGACTTGGAGGTCTCAACTGCAGTGACTCCACAGTGCCGATGAAGAGGTATTTTACAGCAGGGTTCAAAACAAAGCAATGCAACTTGGAATAAGATATATACATTAACGCAGGACAGCCAGCGAAGATGACAAGCATGCTTACGCATCAACTGCAGCTGCTGTGCGCAGGCAGAGCTTTAAAACTTCCATGTCTTCTCCTCTGGGGGCCACACAATCCACAGACAATGGTAACAAAGGACTCCAGGTTCAGTTCAACTCACAGCATGCAGGGTTCTTTGTTTTGGCACTACACACACAGATCTTTAAACTTACCTCCTCTGAACATGCAGAGAATGCCTCTTCCTGCCTAGGAGTATCATACTGCTCGCACAAACAGCTACGGGAATTTCTTAGGCCAGGTAATTTTTAGTAATAGTTCTAAACACGTACTAGACCAAGAATCACATAACCTGATGGTACTTTCTGCATCACTATGTTTATGGTTATTAAGACATTTATTTTCAATAGAGGAAACTGAATTACTGGGTTTTGGGGACATCTCATTGTAAAAATCTATGCAAGAGACTGTTATGCAATATTACTTTTTAACAATGCCTTGTCAGGGCTTCACTTGGTCTTATGGGACCGCAACAAATCAAATATGTCAAACCTCGTCTATTCCACTGATATCACTGCTGCATTTAGTAAACGTATGACAGGAAACAAGCTGTGTCTAAAATTGCTGTGGCATTTCCAAACAAGCCAAGTTTATCCCATGTGACTTCAGTGGAGTCAATGCAGTTGCACCAGGAACGCGCGTGGCCCACAGTTTTCAGTTTGGTCACATACCTCCTCTCATTGTGAAGGACACCCAGGAACAAAGATAAAAATAACCTAATATAAATGAGGGAAACAGTCACATGTTAGTGAAGAAGGAAGCAGTAACTGTGATCAGTGACTCATTCTAGGGCACCAGGTGTAGGGGATCCCCTACACAGTAACATACGGGGTCAGCCACATGACCTCTTCATGCAGAATCGTGCTGTGCATAAGACGAGCCTTTCACGTCCATTAACAACACTGGATTAAACACGCAATTGCATAGCAATGCAGCCAACAGTTTCTCCTGTGCAATACTCGGTCTTGTCACACATGAGTAACACTGTTTCTCTTGAAAAAGGTCAAATATAGTTTGCCCTTTTGCTCCACTTTCCTTTCAAGAAGTAGTGTGTGCATGCGTAATACTTCTTAATATTGACCTAAAACACAGACAGGGGACCAAACAGCAGAGAACAGCTCCTATTTCTGGCAATGATCAGCCTTCATTTCAGTGTAATTATTTTTTAGGCTGTCCATTTTGACCTTGATAGCCACCCATATGCAGCTGTGTTACTGAATCTGTTTCTCTTTATGCGCACTTTAGGTGGGTGACAGCACCATGGAGGATTAACAAGCAAGGTATGTGTTTATTAGTTGAAGCCATGCACTTGTAAAGACAAACTTGTTGAAATACAGACACAGAATTTGCTTCCTTTGCTTATAAGAAAACTTCTCCCACAGACAGGCTTAGTAGGTAAAACAACACGTAGACGTTTTAAAAATTTCCAATTCCATATGAGCTTTTATATCAAGAAAACCAAGTTACTCTGTTTTGACCTTTCCTCATTCCTTCTCTACACCGTTTTCTAGCCATAAAAGGTATACATTTTAACTTACACTACCTTCCTTTTTGTAAGATCCTTTCTTATCACCTGTCTGGTAATGTTATGTTCAAACAGCTAACATCAGTATGACAGCTCCACTGAGCCTTCTGACCTATTGCCTGCTCCCTCAGCAACATCCTTCACTCATTCCAAAGGGAAGAATTTTTTTCCCTCCCCAAGAGATCTCACCATCTCTCCTCACCTGTGGTGGCCTTGCATCTGTGATGCCCAACCAGCTAATATTGCCTTTTACAGAAGCACTTCAAAGCCCCAGGTCCTTACCCCCTGAGTCATGCAAGAGAAACACATGTAGCAACACAGCAGTGCAGGTGCTAGCATGTGCACAGTAAATCTAATGCTATACACAGAAATGGACCTCTTGTGCACATACGCAGGTAAAAACTCATGCTGTTCTAGTCCTGAGGGCCCCAAGAAATACAGCAGCCTAGAAAAAGCTGGATATGTTGCTGCAGCAGGTAACTCGCAGCCCAGAGACCACAGGCTGCACACCCCCTGCATTAAAAATTGACATAACAAGTTGCGATGAAGTCATCCGCAGGAAATACTGTTCTCTGTGCAGTGTCCATCACACAAGCTAGTTACAAAAACTTTTCTGTACTAGTGTAAATCCGTTAGTGGTTCATCTACCATGCCTTGTCTACGAGAGGATAAACAGCCCAATGCACCCCAGCCCATACTGGGCTGGGAGAATGAATGTGTCTTCAGCCAAGTCACTTGAGAATTCCTGTGCATGTCTTGCTTTTACTGCACTTAGGGCAGACAGTGACCAGCAAAGAGCTAAGCAAAATATACTTGGCAGGTACTTTAACTGCTTAAATAGACAAAAACAGGTACAGCATAAAGTCAAACAAAGCTGAAAAATTATAGTCACTATGAAAGTAAGTTCCTGGTGTGTGTTTTGTTCGCAATAAAGTTAAGATCAACTATGGCTCAAAACATAAGGAGATGTCATCACATGGAATCCTCTAAAGATATTAAAATATCCATGTGTAATCTGGTTTCTTTTAAAAGTCTCTTTTTAAATACCAATGCTGCCACTGGCACTGAAAGCACACGTATTCTGCTCATACAGCACCATTTGACTCTACAGCCCCACATGGAGGGACTAAAAAAAAAAGAAGAGAGTCTGAAACACACTTCTGTTGCATTTTAAGGTTTTTCCATTTTAGCCACGTGTAAAGACAAATTCATGGACAACAAAGTATCTCCGATTCATTCAGGATCATCATGTAATTTGGGCAGCAGATATCTAAGCAACGGTCTTCCTTTATGTGGCATATGAGTAGACAAGAATTTCACTTATGGGCAGGGGGTGCGGGCAGCACCCAGCCGGGCCTGATCCTGCCACCGGCCGGGGACACCTCCCCCCCCCCCCCCCCCCCAAAAAAAAGGAAGAGATGTCAAGGAGAGGTCTTCTGTCAAAGATATGGTCATGATACAAATTCATAAAACATTTAGGGGCAAGTGCAGCTTTAGGAGCAAAGTTTGAGAGATGTATATTTCATCATCATCTTGAAAACCAATTTTTCGCATTGTGATAGCACCTATAGAATCCACCTTGCTATAAGCTAAGCAAGCATATATCAAAGCCAGCCTCTTGCCATGGATGTTCGTAGAGGAGGGTTTTACACCGCAACTACTTATTGGGAGTTTTAAGACAACTGACACCCTGTGCTTCCATCTGCCACTAAAAAGGGGAGAAAATATACTTGAAATAAAACACTTAAGAGACAAAGTTATATGCATGCTTTATTTTGTTCTTCATAGCAGTCTTCTGCCTTTGCACCTAAATTTTGTGTGGTCCTACATATATAAAAAAATTAGTCCTTACTCTGTTTTGTCTGTTGAGGAATATACTACTAAAATTCCCTATAGCAGTGATGCATTAGCTTTTAATTACGTACCATAAAGAATTTTTACATGGAATGGAAATCCTTCAACAAGATTTCTTTTCCTCCCTTCCAAAATACGGTACCGGTAAGTCAGATTATCTGCCTGGGTCAATAAGAGCCAGCAGTAATATCCAGATCTCCTGGCTGAAAGGTCTGTGACTCCAGCCACATCACCAGGCTTTCACCTGTGCTTGAACAAATAAGGCATGCGGGGGTGGGAGGGAAATCAGCCATGGCCTTTTCACAGACTGTGAAGGATGGAGAGATGATCTAAAGCAATGACGTGAGTAAATCCCACATATCCATAATTTCCATTTTACAATTCCTCACCACTCCTAAGAAGCAAGTGCTCAGTAGCCTTCAGGACGAGATGCATAATACAGCACAAACCTAAACTTGAAAAACAAAATTTTAAAAATCCTGTTTTAAAGTAAAAACACTGTAAAGGCAATCTATTTACTTCAGGCTTTTTAGAACTTTAAAACAGTCTCCATTTGCACTCAAAGCACTTTACTTCTGCATTTCTAACTCTTCACTTTCCTGCTTTCCCAGCTCCACAAAGGCTGTCTAAAACAAAAAGAGAAGATAATAGGCACTTTGCACTGTTCCTGACAACTTCTCTTCTTTCCTGCACTCCTAAAACCTCTGATTTGTGCCCTCTGCTTTCTTGTTGCCATGGAGAAGGTCCAATACATAACCCGCTCTGCTCTGAGGAGAGCCTCAACTATTGAGGTCAACCCACAAGCACGCCAAAGGCTCCAAGAGCTCTTTGTGAATTTCTGCCTAATTTTAATTTGCCTCTTGCTGATCTGTATCATTGTGATGCTCCTCTGAAGTTCCAGCACTTCTCTGCACTGTCCTCTAGGAAAGTCACCCCAGAGGGAAGAGAGACCTACACCCGCAACTCCTAATGCAAGGATCCTCTTGTGAGAGGGGCTAGCACTTGGACTAGAGCTGTATGCCAACTATCGCACTATTCTCTTACTACCTGCTACATGTATTAAAAACACACTTCTGTGCAGAACAGTGTTTAGAGCCTGTTGTAACAAAGCTGTGCATGACCTAATTTGTCTGTCTCAGTCAAGAGGTGTCTTTTCTGAATGGGGTAAAGTACTGCCTCTTCACGGAGCTGGTAAGTTCCTCAATGTTTTAGCTAGATCACAAAAACAGCAACTTCACTTTTTGGGTGCCTGAGTGTTTTAAATTTCTCTGAAAATCCTTAAGCCCTTGGAGGGGTTCTGAATTTGGCCCATGTCCACCCAAAGAAGAGCTACAGGCACACAGCCCTCAACACATCCTAAGAAAATTTCTGCTCTGCTTACTTCAAGGTGCTGCACCTCTGCATTGTCAACTGAAGGCATTCAAATTGTTTCCGTGTTTTTAAAGGAAAATGAGAATAAACAAAAAATGTCTTCTAACCCAGAAATAAAAACTATTTCATAGGCTTTTCTCCCTATTTAAGGAACCATATATATACAAAAATATATATATAAAAAATGTACGTGTATATATGTGTGTGTGTATACATGCACACAAAACTTGGACGTGAAAAAAAAAAGGCAAATTCTTTTACAGTATTTTTCACTAGATACATCCTTACAGAACTAAGTGACATCTGGAAAGTTTTTTCACTATGTTTTGCAGAAAAATTGACACTACCACACTGGTATCAAAGATTTAATTTTCTATAGTCACTTAACTGACACATCAATTGACACAACTCAAAAATAATTCTCCAAGTTCTTAATATTTGGCTTCAGACAACTTTATTATGGCCTGCTGTAATTTATGCAATGGTCTCCTTAGTTTAAAACTACAGAAAACTTGGTATTTGCCAGTGTCACACAAGGTGGCTTATATCTGATACGATACAGAAAAAAGTTTAGGTCACTCTTACTGCTGTGATTGAAGTGTATCATACAAATGCAAGTAACGACACCACCCTCAACTGCAAATGCTTGTTAGAGAACAAGCAAGTACTTTCCTGAAATAAATGATACATACCATTATGCACAGGAGGGAAAGCATTGAAGAAATCTCTTTTCAACATGTAAAGCACAGTCTATACACATAAAAGATGAAGTTTCTACTCCAGCAGTTGTCAGTAACAAGACTGAGCAGTGGACTTCAAATTCTCCCACGTGTTGCTCGTATTGAACTAAATTTCTAGAAACTTTATGCAGTTTTCAAATTTAAAAGAGAGCTCAAGAATCAATAGAGGCCAAACAGACATCTATTTTTTAAACAGGCATCTTTCTATACCACCCTATGTAAGCAATCCTATTGATGAATACAGAAAATCAAAACAATTTTGTCTTAATCTTGTATTCTGCCTTTAATACTCCATGAGTAGAGGTTGACAATGAACAGCTGAGCAGGAAGGGAAGAAATCTTTGAAAAAACTATGTACTCGATGGAATGCAAGCAAATCCAGTGGTGATGCACTTCCTATCTGGCAAATAGATATGCTGAGATCAGACCTCTGAAATAAGGTTAATCACTAAAGGAAATTATTTAGCTACTGTAATGAGGATTAGGGCAAGCACTGATGAGATAGGCAACACCCCACCCCCCAGTAATAGGAATATTACTGACTCAAACTGTTAATGTAAATCTCAATTTCCATTTCATGCATTCTGACCACTCTCACAAATGAATAAGATTTTAGTAAGCACACTTTCCCTATTAATTATTCTTCTTAAGAAAAGCTACAAACACAGTGCAATAGAAAAATCTAAAGTTACTTTCTTCTCTTTTTAAATCTGTATTTTTGTGATGGATAGGGTTTCCAGTTTTAGTTTGCTTTGGAGGTGTTTCAAGAACCTTCAATTGGAAATAGACAACAGTTTTACAGTATAGAAAACCCCCTGAAGAAAAAAGGTGGTAAGAGTGAAATATCAACACGTACATTCTGAGGACACGTTGGGATTACAGGTTTTACACGCCAGTAACATATAGAAGTCAAAGTAAAGCATTGCTAAAAACGTAGAAAGCCCCCCCGCCTCCCCCTACCAACCCACCACTTTCCTCTTATGTACCTGAAAAGCCATTATTTATTTAAAAACAATAAATAAACAAGAACAAAACCAAGGTATAAATAACCTGGAAGCCCTACTGTTATTTTACAGCAATGCAGATAAATTGCATGTACTGTATGGTTCATTTGTGTCTTAGGGTTCTGCTGATCAGAAAAACTGCTACCATCCTCTATATGACTAAATGTCAAATGAACCCAGAGATTAAAAAAATAAAACCTTTTGTACCTAGTACATTCTTCTTTGTATACTTATATGGGCTTTAAAACTAACATCTACTGTATTTTTATTTATTAAAATGACTGCTTGAAGATATTTTAATGCATAAAATAAGATACTTAAATACAATTCCGTTTAGAAAGAAACATCCATTCTATCATCTATTTATTAAAGTTATGTGAAAAAGAGCTAGTCATCACACAGCTTTCTGATTCTTTATACCTCTGCTTATTCGGTTTTGGTTTTCAACAGTAGCCTTGCCTATTTTGCGATGTCCAGATCACTTACACATACATAATTTACACTCACCAACTAGTGCACATAAGCAATCCTAATGAATTTTATGGAAATGTAATCAGAAAGTTCACTACTTTTATGCGCCATAATAAAAATTCCAAACACAGCATGTAGCTTGGATTAAGTTCTCATTTCTTTGTTTCACTCCACTCAAGGCTATGTCTTTTTGCTAATTTCATCTTACATACTGATAGACAGCTAAACAGGCAACAATCTGGTATTACTCTTCCCAAAAAAACCACGTGACAAACTTCCGTGGCAATTTTACACTGGGAAAGAGCTGAATCAGGAACAAGAATATGCTAGTTTTAAAGATGTGTCTCCTCAGCCAGCTCTTCAGCAAATATTGATAAATCTACCCATTTTTTTTTCCTAAGTGAAGACATTACCCATTTCAGAATTAGAAATTTTGTTCTGATCAAGACTAGTCAGTACGGCACTTTAGAGGGTAGCAGGTACTTGCATTTCTTTATTAACTTTTCTGCATCAATTTAGCAACAACTGCCCTTCCTAGCGGAACTGAACCACTCACTGGAAAAACAAGTGTAAAACAGGCTTAAAATTTTTCACAAAACACGCACAAAGTGTTTGCTCCCGCAGCATAAATAACTTTTATGTAAGTTTTGCTACAAATACACACAGAACAATAATCATGTCAGACATACACACTCATGCTGAGGTGTACTTCACCTATAACCTCTCTGCCAAAATTAGAGCAGAGTAATGAACACATTAATTTAGAGAGTACTCTTGTTCGTATCTGGAAGCATACTAATATACTATAGATTACAGACCAGATACCTGTATTTGTATGGGTATTAATAAATAATGTCTGTCAGAATACAATTAGAAAGTATTTGTGAAGCCCTACAACATCCATAGATATCTTTTATTTAACAACAAATGTAGTCCTTTTAGCTTTGAGCTAGACGTTAAAAACTGGAGAATAAATAAATAAATCTGTTTTGGTTATGGAAGGAGAGGAGTGAACACCTCTTGGTCATTGCAAGGATTAAAAACAGAACAACATATTTACAAGGATTCCCTTAAAAACTGATGTTCATCTCAGTAAGAACCCTGGTAATTTAATTTATTTAAAACAGGCCCAAGATTTATTGTAATATCTGACAGTTAGTTTAGTCAAACTGATTGCTTTATAAGCCCAGGTTTTGGGTTTTTTTGGGTTTTTTGTTTTTTTTTTGTTTGTTTGTTTTTGTTTTTGTTTTTTTTTAAGATAAAAGAATGCCAAAAGTTCCATTCTTGCATAAAATACAAAACTATAAAACACTGCCCTCTTGTGATCCTCCCTAAAAACTTAGCTGGTTATTAAAAGGAAGTTTTGGCAACATTTTACTGTTAGGACTGAGTGGTCCCATTTGTTTCTTTCCTTTATATATATATTTTTTTTTTCTATATATAAAACACAATTGCTATGTTATTAATACTATCTTCAAATAAGCTATTGCGTATGTGTTGTTAAAAGCACTAAGGATGCATCCTCTGCCAGCCCAACCTAGATTCTTTACAAGGCATTTGCAAAGCTGCAATGAATCCTACACAGCAGACTGCTGGCAAAATGCTACCTACCATACCGCACGATGCCAAACCCTAGAAGGGCAGGAGACACTCCTTTTAACAGAGGTACATTTTGCCCAGATGAGAAAGTTTTCTTCTTTTTTTGCACCTACAGAGATCTTTTAAAAGTAAATTTTCAACAATCTATTGCTGAAACAGAGTAAGTCTTCAGAACAGCCATTTTTTTGAAAATCAAATGGGCCTGAAAAGTACCATACACATTAAAAAAAGTAAATAAAGAGCCAAAGTGTATAAAATTCAAGTCCTTTCTCCATTAATCAGTTCTTCATAAGTTCTTCAATAGTGAAGTGAAAGCTATTGTTAACTCTAATTTTTTTTTATTTTTAAGGTATTTCGAAAAAAAGGCTTCTAGGAGCATCCAGGTTCCTTTCTTGGAAAAAAAAAATTTCTGGTTATTGTAAACAAACTTTTTTTTCTTAAGTGGCAGAAACTAAAACCAGGTAAACAGCTGAGGACACAATGAAATTCATGTGAATCTACATTGCTTACTACTGAAGGAGCAACCTGAAGCTACAATCAAGAGTCTGCTGCAAGCACAAAAGGGCAGACTGATGCACATTATGGATCTTGCTAATAACAGAGGTCTCAACCTGCTACTCAATTTTCTGCTTATTGTCTTGGTTCTGGTGCTTGCATTTATCCTTGTGAAGCTGATGTGAACCTCTGTGAGGCTCTGCTTCCTTCTCGGATCTTTTGAGGGTTTTGCAGTGACAATGTAGACACTTCAAACTATCTGAATATAAATATGCAAAGACTGCAGAGACTGAAATATCTGACAGTCAGAGAAAGTGTTTGCATACCTATTTTATCAGAAAGCAATTCTAAAAGCTGTGCACAATTATCTACCTGCCACTGAGTTAAAAAAGCATCTAGGGCCTTGCTGAGTACATGAAGAAATCCAAGTATGCATCAGCAGTTACTGTAGTTTTCGCACTGCTACAGCTGACTTCTATTTAAAGATCTACAAAAGATCTGCAGCCTTCAAGGAACATCATTTTAGCAAAGGGGACAGGAGGAATCAAATTTTTAAAATGGGATTTCTGAAGAATGTGTATTTCATGGGAAATGGCACAGATACAGCAGGAAGGCAGGATGGAACACCTACACTGGGTTGACAGCATGCATCAAATTACCTGTGGAGAGAAAAAGCAGGGATACTGTAGATGGAAACAAGGATATCCATGAAAAGCAGCTTGCAGCAGCCGAGATGCAGATAAGTTTAAATATGAAAGCATAATTGTTACACCTTTTTTGACATCTATGGTTCTCAGCAACACCTTAAAAGCCAGAAGCTGTTAGTGTTGTCCAGCAGTATCAAAAGAAGCAGCTGTCAAAACAACTGAGAAACAAACAACGATTAACAAGGTTTATCATAACTGTGCCTACGAAGCCCTTAACAGTGCCACGTACATGAGCAGTAGGTGCATCTGTACAAAATGCAAGTGTGCTACATCCTTAACAAGGCAGATTTACCACTTATGCACAGGTCAAGTGTGCAGCGTGGGAGCTCTCAAGCCGTATTTGACATAACACTTGTTACTTGCCAGTGCAATCACCCAGTCCATAGCTTGTCCTTCCATTAAGCATGCAACATAAGCTTCTTACAGGTCCTTCTTCTATAGCCCTTTACAGGATGATGTACTTTCCCCACAGGTCCCTGGGAAGGACAGTGACCAAGAAGAGCTTGCTTCTGCTGCAGTTATTTGCCCAGAAAGTAGCTCTACGCACCCGAGATATGCTGGGAAAGAAGGTGGCCAGACTGGGGCCAATCAGCTTACTCTCAGCATCTCTCTTTCCCCAAGTACAACGTGAGAACAGAGGGCACCAACACATATGCATTTTACAGTAAACTTAATGCCATACATACGTATATTAACAGTCTTTTGCACACACGCAAAAGAGGCAGATGTTGCTCATGGCGTGGGGAAGCCCCAGCTTCCAGCTTGCTATTGCCAACAACACATCCCTGATTCAGCACGTATACTGTTGATCCGGCACTTCTCACAAGTCCTGAATATATTACAGAGCTGATCTACTCATGTTCACACTCAGGATTTCCAGATGATTACCGCTGTTGTGGGGTGGTTCAGTTATCTGGAAGAGACCCATCTAAATTGGATCTACAAAAAGACTTTTCACAGGATAAAGCCAGTATGTCTAGGGAAACAGAAAGTTTATGTGAGTTCTACTGTTAACAGACATCCGCGTTCCACTCTATGCTACCTACTCCAAAGCTTAGGCAACGCTAGCTGGGGCAGCACAGATACTCAAAATGAAAGCTTTTCTCTCATCTGCTCTGAAATATGTGCAATAAACATTTAAAATAGCTTCTGCAAACTACACATCTATAGCTTTTTAATGTTGACATAGTAATATCAATTCCTGTCTGTTTGCATTTAAAGCAGAAAACTTTGCACAGCTACATCACCGTAAGCACTTTATCACTTATTTTGATAATCTTGAAATATTCCGCTTTTTAAAAAAAAATCTGTAAATTTATACACAAGGGATATTACATTGTAACAGTTACATAGTTATGTATTATTTAGGAGGATTTCTGCTGGTGCTTGACATAGATGGCATGAAGCATACCACAACCACAGAAACTGATATGAAGCCCACTCTAGTCTAAAGAAGAATAAAAATGGTTTTCCCAACAAAACGGGAATTCACTGATACACTGCTCGGGCTTGTACAAAGCTTATTGTCTGTATGCTCTTCTGTATATTCAAAAGTCTTTCTATCTTAGGGAAACCACTGTGACAGTTTAATAGCTAAAATTAGACAAATGAGTTAGCCCTGATGAAAAATAAAAATCACATATTCCTTTTCAATAAAAGGAGAAAGATGAGTCTACTGCCACCAACAGTCACGTACTTCCAGATCCAAAATTACATACAAAGGAAGTCTATAAGAAACTCTGCCATTAGCACGTAGAAACAACCCCAAGAAACAACCCTAGCAGCCTCCTCTCAGCCAGCAACGAAAATTACAGACTCTTCAACGAATGTTGAAATAAGCTGCTGAAACCAAAACATGCATTCTCCTGAGACGACATATAAAATTGGCAAGTTATCAGTTAACCAATGCCAAGTCTCTTTTTACAATCGAGCATGGTCCAAGTTTGGTTTCCCATCATCTGCTAGCGCTTGCTCCAGACTGAGCCCACATATGCACTATAACGAACACAATCCCCATTGTTGGACTACCAACTTCACAGCAAAAGCAACAGACCATAAAAGCTTAATTGCGGCTCACAGCGAAGAAGTTCACTCTATTAACTAAAGGTGATAAT